TCAACCATTTATAATAGATAAATTTACACTTATGTGCAGATAACCCCTTTTTAATAAAATTGTTTTTGCCATTCAATGGTCCATCCAATATAATAGATGTAAAAAAATATTTATTTTATTTTATTTTTAAAATATAATTTATAATTTTTTTAAAATATTATAATAAATTTCAACCATTTATAATAGATAAATTTACACTTATGTGCAGATAACCCCTTTTTAATAAAATTGTTTTTGCCATTCAATGGTCCATCCAATATAATAATTGTAAAATAATTTTTCGTTTTTAATGCTAATAAATAATTAAGAAAATATTTTTTTGGAGCAATTCAACGTTGAGTCGTTGATCAGGATGGACCTCACATGTTTTCACTGTAGAATCATCCCTAAAAGCAAAGTATATTCGTCCACATTTTACACGATGAGCTGTTTGGGCAAGAATGAAAAAGAATGGCGAATCATGCAAACTACCCCCTAAACATGTCAAAAGGTGGCAAAAAAACCCCTCAACTGAAATCAATAGCACTTGACCCCTTAAACTCATGAGCGGTGGCAAATTAGCCCTTGTTTAACTCCCATTTCAATATTCTGTTAAAATTAACGGTTCTCTAGTTAGAATGGATTCCACAGATATATTGAAGTCAGACATGGCCTCTCATGTCATTAAATTATTAATATTTTTGAATTTTTTTAAATATTTCATTAAGATTTAATGATTTTAATTTTAGTTTTCACACATTAAAATTTAATTACTTACAATGAAAATCAATTAGATTTATTAAATTTCAATTGTCACTTTGTCAAGAAAATAAGAATAAAAAACCCTACATACTGTAGAATAGTTTTATAACTAAATAGTATTTTTTTTTTTACTCATGAAAATTATCTCAATTTAGAAAATTTGAAGAATTAATTGTAAATCTAAAATTTAGCAAAAAAAGAAAAAAGAAGTTTGAAGGAAGAAAAATTGAGAACTACAAAATTACATGAATTAATTTTTTTCTATAAATTAATTGTTAAAATGTATATTAATTACACCTAAGATAGAAAAATTATTATTAAATTTATTTTTCTTTTTT